ACAGCTACAAGATTTTTCAATGGATGGATGTCAGGCGGTGTATTGACGTTAGTCACACAGCCTGGTCGGGTTATGTTAGGGTTAGAACTTAGGGTTAGGGTTAGGGTTAGGGAGGGAGTAGGTGTAGTCGACTCCCTAAAGTAGAATTATATTATTATTAGTATTATGCGCCTGCGCGTTGCATATATATTTTGGGCAAATACAACTGCCGCCTAGCTTCTATTAACAATAAAGTTCATTCATTCATTATGACAAATGTCAAATGTAAATTACAGCTAGATAGGGCGCAGCCATCTTTTCGCTCGAGAGATCTCGCGAGACCAAAAGCTCATCATGTCTGCCCCCATGTAGTTGAAATCATGACTGTCTGAGAGTTCATGAATAGGCCTGTCTGTCCATACTTCAAATTAAACACCTGAAATTAATTTGCACTTGTGATTTGCAAAAGGCCACAATGGGTATTTTAGAGAAAATTTCAGAGGTGGAGAAGGAAATAGCCAGGACACAGAAAAATAAAGGTAACACTAACACTGTTATTCAGTAACACTAACAGTAACACCAACAGAACAGTCAACATGCACTGTCAGTGTCAAGGAGCTACATATAACATGTTATATGTAGCTCCTTGGTCAGTGTCAGTGTCAGTAGCCAGACGTAACAATGACATACATATACGAATAATAATAGAAGCACACCGCTTATCTAATGTGAACACACGGAGAGCAGCAGTATGTTTTCAGTTTTCTGCACCGTCCTGCACTCGCTGAGAATCATAAATTCATGTTATTTTGTGTGTAACACTTACTGCTAGTGCACTAAACTCGTGAATTAGGTAACGCATGATGGAAGATATCCTAGTTTATGTAGTCTAATTTGAGTTCCAGCTATTTATAGTGTGGTAGCAGTGCTAGAGAGAGCGTAATTGGTTCAATGTATAGCTATGCAGTTGTTATAACGGGGACCATTTTGGTGGTTGTTGTTCTCAACAGGAGGTGCCATATGATGCAATAGTGGAATGTGCTAATCTGTAGGAATGTCCAAACATAAATTTTTATTGGTGTTACTGCTATGCCTTATTTCGTGACAATCCAATTAGTCATTATGAAAGTTTACCTTTATATACTCCATGACTAACTTGACTAATGACTTAAATTACTTTATAAAAATTGTTATCCATTGAGTCTTGGAGACTTGAAAAGTGTATTAACTCCATTTTTTCTTCTTACAGCCACAGAATACCATTTAGGATTACTGAAGGCAAAACTTGCCAGATATAGGCAGCAATTGCTAGAAGGAGCACAAGGGCCAAAGGGAGGAAAGGTGAGAGAGTACACACATCATAATTTGGACGACAATAATTTGATTCACACTATTGTACGTTACATCAAAAACATGCTGCAATTCCCTAGATGTACTGATGAATTATTAATGAATACATCTTCCACATGTCACTTGTGCATTTCTCCGTGTTTCAGGGCGAAGGTTTCGATGTTATGAAATCGGGTGATGCCCGAGTCGCATTGATAGGCTTTCCTTCTGTAGGCAAAGTAAGTAAGGAGCGAGACTCACTCTAGGTAATGACCAAGTAAGGTCACCAAGACATTATAGAAAGTCACTGACACATTTTGGGGGTCACTAAGACATTATGGGAGGTCATTGAGACAGACTGAGGTCACTGACACATTATAGAAAGTCATTGAGATATTTTGGAGGTCATTATGACATTGTGGGGGATCAATGAGACATTTTTGAAACTTATTTAGATATAGTAGATGTGTCATTGCAACGTTGTGGATGGCCATTGAGACATTGTAGAGGTCATTAAGCCATTATGGGCATAATTGAGACATTGTGGAAGGTCACTGAGACATGCTGTTGGTTTTCCTGCGCGTGTTTTAGTCGACGCTGCTGGGGACGGTGACGAAGACGGAGAGTGAGACGGCGTCGTATGAGTTTACAACGCTCACCTGTATACCCGGCGTCATTGAGGTATGTCCCACCTGTCTGTCTACCTGTCGGGAATTGAGTTATTGCATCATTGAGGTATGTCTCACCTGTCTGTCTACCTGTCGGGAATTGAGTTATTGCATCACTGAGGTATGCCGTAACCAGTACCTAACAGAAATCGGTCCAAATTTTCTGCTATTGATGTACACATTGAGATATGCCCCGCCTGTCGGGGAATCCGTGTGAATTTCGCAAATCGATCATTGCAGTCGAACTTTTTTTCGATTTCTTCAGTACAAAGGTGCGAACGTCCAGCTGCTCGACTTGCCCGGCATCATCGAGGGGGCATCGCAGGGCAAAGGTCGCGGCAGACAGGTCATCGCCGTGGCGCGCACGGCTGACCTTGTCATCATCATGTGTGACGCGACGAAGCGCGAAGCTCAGAGGTATCCAGCAGCATCGAGAGACCTTGATATCACTCTTATGAAAATCAATTCGTAGGCATTCGCGCCAGTAGATGGCAGCACGTGACACGTGACTAGATATTCTGAGCATAGAAATATAATATATACATGTATATATATGTGTGGGAAATAGATAGATAGATAGAGATATAATTATATATCTATTTCTATGATTCTGAGTTTGAAACGATTGGCCAAGTACTTACAGTACCAATGTAATACAATGTGAGACTAAAAGATGTGGGAGTAATGTTTCTTCAGGGTTTTAACAATTTCGTGAATGTTTTGAACTTGTAATTCGCAGGAGGCTATTGGAGGTGGAATTGGAATCCGTCGGAATTCGTCTCAATAAAATGAAACCTAACATCTACTTCAAGGTCAGCAAGCAAGCGTTGTAATCAGAATATTTTTAATCGCAGAATTTACTAAATCCTTTTCTTTTATTCAGAAATTATTTCAATGCGAAACCATCACTTCACCTCTCTCTCATCCTCCCCTCCTTCTCCATCACCCCACCTCTATCTCATCCTTCTCTCCCCCTCCATCACCCCACATCTCTCTCATCCTCCCCTCCCCCTCCATCACCCCACATCTCTGTCATCCTCCCCTCCTCCTCCATCACCCCACCTCTCTCTCATCCTCCCCTCCTCCTCCATCACCCCACCTCTCTCTCATCCTCCCTTCCCTCCTCCATCACCCCACCTCTCTCTCATCCTCCCCTCCTCCTCCATCACCCCACCTCTCTCTCATCCTCCTTTCCCCTTCCATCACCCCACCTCTCTCTCATCCTCCCCTCCCCTTCCATCACCCCACCTCTCTCTCATCCTCCCCTCCTTCTCCAATCACCCCACCTCTCTTCATTCCTCCTCGCCCCCTCCATCCCCACCTCTCTCTCATCCTCCTTCCCCCCTCCATCACCCCAAATCTCTCACATCCTCCGCCTATCCCCTCCAGTCACCCCACACTCTTCACATCTCCCTTCCCCTCCATCACCCCACTCTCTTCATCCTCCCTCCCCCTCCATCACCCCACATACATCTCTCGCACCTTCCCTCCCTCCTCCTATCCCCCACCTATCTCGCCATCATCCCTTCCCCTTCCGTCACTCCGCTGAATCTTCTGAGAGCTGACTACAAACCGTATTTCCGATCTCTCGAGTGCCACAGCCAAAGAAGGGGGCAGTATCGAAAGGGGGGGCCGTCGATGAACTGATTTAGTGATTCCAAGGCATTTTTCAGCCGAAGAAGGGCGGCGGCATTCACTTCACGGCGATGTGCGCGCTCACGCATGTGGACGAGAAGCTCTGCCAGATGATCCTGCACGAGTACAGTATCCTTGACGATAGCGCAGCTTCCTCCGAATCCGGTCGACCGACCGCCACCGGCGCGGGGGGCAGAGCGGGGGGGGGGGTTAAGAGTCAAGGTTCCGGGTCACAGGCAGAGGTTTCGAACGGGAACGAAGGAATCGCTTGCGGCCGAGCGAGGTGGGACCTTCGAGTCTGAAATCGAGTTTGAATTGGGGGGCGTAGGTCAAGTCCGGTCAAGGGCAGAGGTTCCGAACGGGAACAAGGAAATCGCTTGCGGTGGAGCGAGGGGGGACCTTTGAGTCTGAAATCGAGTTTGAATTGAGACTGTTGCTGAGGTGCGGTCACGGGTAAAGGCGCAGGCGATGTTTTTAGAGATTTTTCTGGTGAGCGTTGTGAGGCTTGGTTTGGTTTGTGGATATGGTTTGATGTTCTGTCCGCGATGAACTGTGTGGTTCAGGGGCAAAAACGATGTGAGGGCCATGGACCTAAGGAATAGCAGTGAATTATTATAGACTTCAGCTTGTTGGTCGCTTGTTTCCATTAAACCTTAACAGCTCTGTAGAAATCTTTAATGCCGAGGTTCTATTCAGGGAAGATTGCACTGCTGATGAACTGATCGACGTCATAGTTGGCAGCCGGGTCTATCTGCCATGTCTCTACGTGAGTAAACAATATTGCATCGGTCTCCCGTGTGTCAGCGTCGGTAGCAGCACGCAACCAACATGTCACCCGGCCCTCATCGCTACACGAATAAACCATGTTAAATTGACTACGTCACGAATTTTCTATGGTAAAATTTGTAAAATTTTTGTTGCCATTTTTTTACATTAAAAGTAAGAACTAACGGGACTAAACGTATCGTCAAATTCTTACCTGATAAGATTGTTTCTTAACTAGTTACAAATCCAAAAGCTTGCTATGGGCTATGTATGAGTCACGAGTGTATGTTCACATCGAACAATATAGTAAAATAGGAAGTATAAATTATGCAGAAATTTAGCCATAAAAGTGAACAGAATTATTTAGATTTTGTGAAAAAGTGGAAATATTTTTTTTATTTTTATTATTTACGGTGACGTATTCACTTTAAGCCCGGCGCACACGGGAGTAATTTTACCCAAGTAAAATGATGCATGCGTCAAAATACTCACGTGTGCGGTGGATTTTTGTTGAGTATTTTGACGCATGCATCATTTTACTTGAGTAAAATTACTCACATGTGCACCGGGCTTAACATGTCATAGGAAGAAATGAACGGTTGAATTCTAGTGGTACCTGTAGTGGTTAAGTTTCGTTGACTGCATTGTGGATGTGATGTGTGTTGGTGATCTCTCATTGATGTAAAATCATTGGATGCATGCAACGTAAATGACAAATTATTTTGTTGTTGAAAGCGATTATTAATGAGATAATATGTGATAGGAGAAATCTCGGAGTGCCATTGTGATTGGTGCTCATAATTTTGTGATGTTTAACTATAGGTACTAGTTGATCTCTTTGTACAGGTATACAATAAAATTGACCAAATTGCCATAGAAGAAGTGGACAGGTTGGCACGGCAACCACACAGCGTAGTAGTCAGGTGAGTTGATGTATGTACATGTATGTGTGTATGTATGTACATGTATGTGTGTATGTATGTACATGTATGTGTGTATGTATGTACATGTATGTGTGTATGTATGTATGTGTGTGTGTGTGTGCATGCATACATGAATGCATACGTACATGCATGAATGCATACGTACATACAGGAGTGCATACATAATTAGGTGAATGCATACGTGCATACGTGCATATGTATTTATGTTACATATGTGCATGTTAGTAATTGTATATCTGCTCTTAAATACCGGCTGTTCTAAATTGTAGCATGTGCCAGTAGACCACCGAGAACTCGTACACGAACAAGTCGTGAAAAATATGGAGTTGAATAGCTCACACCTAATGAATGTCGCTGTTAAATATTTATTTCAGTTGTAACATGAAGTTGAATTTGGACAACCTGCTAGAGTGCATGTGGGAGCACCTGGCGCTGATCCAAGTCTATACGAAAAAACGCGGATGTGAGTCCGGCTGGGCCTCCCTCCTAGTCTGCTTCGTACTGTTACCTTTACTTGCTTTCAAAGCTGATTTTGCTGGCTTCTTGTGGATCCTGGAAAATTCAAATGCCATTTTTCTGGCTTTTTATGGGCCACGGAGTTTTAAAATGGCATTTTCTATGTGTTTTACGAGTTCTGGAATTTTAAACAGCTATTTTCCACGGCTAAAAGTTCTTGGAAAATGGGCTGTGGTCCTAGGAAGTTCCAGAAAAGTAGGCGTTAATCATGAAATGTCCCGGAAATTGTCTATTAAAAGTTGGTGCTACAGAGTTGGCAATGTGAGGTACAAAGATTATATTTGATGAAAAATCTCACATTCGTCGAAAATCGATCTTTTACATCCTAGAAACCACGTGGAAACGAGTTTTGCTTTAGGGGAACGAACCCTGTTTTTAGGTCAATATTACAGTGTGGCGCCGGCGCTAATTGTATGTTGGCATTGCAGGTCCACCGGACTTTGAAGACGGATTGATTCTTCGAAGTAATTGCACCGTCGAGCACGTGGTATGTCTTCTTTGCACTTCCGTAAAACATGTTCTATCTTGTTGTCTACTGTTGTGCAGTTGTTGTCGGCATGTAATCCATGATTCTAGATAGAATTTGTATATAAGTGCGTGTTTCAATGTGTTCAAGATGTGTTCAAGATGTGTTTTATGATGTTCTGATTATGTTTAATTGCTGGTTGTCTATTTCAGTGCCATGCCATCCACCGAACCTTGGTCTCCCACTTTAAATATGCACTTGTGTGGGTGAGTGTTAGCGCTGAATACTTAATTATTATATTTCTATGCTATGATGCTGCTCGTACATGTTGCCAATTGCGTGTAGTATATATTTTTAGCAGCAGGTGGCAGCAGGTGTGAGCAAAGCCAGAGCGTATATATGTCGATATTGATGTACGGTGCAATACTTTTCGTCAGTAAATTACAATGTGTACAAGGCTATTACAAATGTGTAGAACGTTTGCTTTTATCGCCAGCATTGTTACAGTACTTACGTTTCATGATAAATACTGTACAGGAAAATAACCCGATAATATTCACACACACACAAAAATATCGTCACGAAATTCGACAAACTCGTTCTAAGGTCGGCATTGAATTATTTATTTTTATTTTTTTGTCTGCAGGGAACTAGTACAAAGTACAGTCCACAGCGAGTTGGCTTGCAGCATATCATGAACCACGAAGACGTCATACAGGTCGTGAAAAAGTAACGTGACGTCGCGGCGTTTGCGTCGGGGAAACGGAGACAGAAATCATCTGCGTTGGAACGAGGCCACGAGGGTTTCGGGTGGAATGTGAGGAAATGCTGCCTATTCGTTTTTAATGGGGACAACTCAAATCTGTTCTAAGCATCACAAGCATGTCGTCACTTAGACTGTGAAAATGTATAGCTGTGTCATTAATATTTATGTATATATACATATATATATATGTATATATATATATACATATATA